GTGGCGGCCATATTGGATTTCTGATCGACCCGAAAAATAACAACACTTTGTCAGGACCATGAGGCGATCATTCCTACCAACTTTCAGTTCAATCGGTCCAGCAGAACTTGACTTTAAGTTTGAAATAGGTTTTCAAAATGGCGGCCGTGGCGGCCATATTGGATTTCTGATCGACCCGAAAAATAACAACACTTTGTCAGGACCATGAGGCGATCATTCCTACCAACTTTCAGTTCAATCGGTCCAGCAGAACTTGACTTTAAGTTTGAAATAGGTTTTCAAAATGGCGGCCGTGGCGGCCATATTGGATTTCTGATCGACCCGAAAAATAACAACACTTTGTCAGGACCATGAGGCGATCATTCCTACCAACTTTCAGTTCAATCGGCCCAGCAGAACTTGACTTTAAGTTTGAAATGTAAAATGTTAACGGACGACGGACGACGACGGACGAAAACGGATAGCAATAGGTCACTTGAGCTAAAGCTCAGGTGACCTAAAAAAACGTATTCAAAATGTAGTTTATAAATATATATATATATGTAGGTGTGTTGTGCAGGATGAATCGGCTATCCATGTTTATCCGAGACATGCCCTTTATTTTTAGGGTCAAGCCATTTCTACTGTACTCTGCCACCATAATACTTCCGTCAAATTTGACGGGCGTATAAAAAGTGCATTAGGATAATATTTCAAATGTTTTTTCGGCTGTGATTATAGCCATATCAAAATATGTATCATATATTATATGTAATCAATATACAGATAATGTTTCAGGAAACAGCTACAAGAATTTACAAAGATTGCATCACTCTTGAAATAGTACTTAATATTTTGCTAAGGAATAGTGATTTAAAACAACAAGCCCCATTTTTACCCCCCCCCTCCCCCCCACCCCCTGTATACATTACACTTTGATGGTTCCTGAATTTAAAATTAATTAATAAGGTTAAAACTTTTCAATAGAAATTAAATGTTGTTCCCTTTTTTAACAGATATTTACCTGTTTTGCCAGATCCAATATGGCTGCTTGAGGAACAACCCCGTACATCTGTATCAACATCTGTGCGACACTCTGCGACATGGGTGCAAAGTCATCCATTAACGTACTCAATGACCTTTTAAACAGGTCACAAACCGCCTAAAGAGAAAAATGTAAAACGCACTGAACTTTGGTCAATTAACATAAGGCAAATAAAAACTGGTTAAATTTTTAACTTTCACCTTTTTTGCCCCTATGTTACCATGACAGCAAATATATTAGTAGGTAATTCAGTGTATGAAAATATTAAACACGGTTTTTACTGATGAAGAGTTAATATTGGACTGGGAGAAAGTTTGTCTGCACACACTAATACAGTAATACAGTAAATGTAGCTTCAGTAATGTCCTTAGTGATCAGTATTAAATAAACTCTAATGTTGAAAGTCAACTGGTAAAGCATTAGGCTGCATCCTTTTTGGAAGTAACACAAAGAAATTGAATTTGAAATGTAATCTTCTTTCCCCCTTAATCAGATCCCCAGCTATACTCAAGACTCCTGCCATTTTCTAAACTGAATCTGTTCATTTACTTTTACAAAAACAGAAACCATTTATGGCTGAGGCATATTAAACTGAATCTGGATAAGAATATTGTTAAAAGAACACCCCCGCCCCCCATCATGCCTCTCATCTTGAGGTGTCTGACCTCACATTAGTAACTTCTGATTCCTATCCCCCCAAGGACCCATACTTTCTAACTCATCTGTCACTTTTGGGTCAAATCATGCTCTTTTTTGGCCAATGTCATCAGTTTCTAAAGTTTTAATTGGAACACTAACCCATGTTTCAGTCTCTCAAAATTCTACATAAATAAAGTTTCATAAGACAAGACATGTCAAAAATTTGATTTCAATTGTTGCAGTGGTTTGGAGAAGATGTCAAAGATGTGGAAATGCAAATGGAAAATAGATGACACAATGCCATGCTGCAGCTCTAGCACTCTGGTCAGGTGAACTAATGATAAAAATCAATTCAGTCAGTTGGCACCTTACCTCAATGATGCTGGAGTCGGTGATCCACTTGGCCACAAGTTGGTGTATCACAGGAGCTACTTGTTGTAATATCACAAACACCTACCAACAGACAATACAATGAGGTTAATATTAACTTTATCTATTTTATAAAAAAACAAGAGGCCCATGGGCCTTAACGGTCACCTGAGTCTATAGTATTTATTTTTGTTGTTGAAATATGTACCAATTTGAGTAAAAAATAGTATAATGTTAACTTAACTTTGTCAGGACCATGAGCTGATCATTCCTAGACCAATTTTAAGTGAGATCGGCCTATTAGAACTTAGTAGCAAAATAGCGGCCATGGCAGCCAAATTGTATTTCTGATTGACCCGAAAAATAACAACACTTTGTCAGGACCATGAGGCGATCATTCCTACCAACTTTCAGTTCAATCGGTCCAGCAGAACTTGACTTTAAGTTTGAAATAGGTTTTCAAAATGGCGGCCGTGGCGGCCATATTGGATTTCTGATCGACCCGAAAAATAACAACACTTTGTCAGGACCATGAGGCGATCATTCCTACCAACTTTCAGTTCAATCGGTCCAGCAGAACTTGACTTTAAGTTTGAAATAGGTTTTCAAAATGGCGGCCGTGGCGGCCATATTGGATTTCTGATCGACCCGAAAAATAACAACACTTTGTCAGGACCATGAGGCGATCATTCCTATCAACTTTCAGTTCAATCGGCCCAGCAGAACTTGACTTTAAGTTTGAAATGTAAAATGTTAACGGACGACGGACGACGGACGACGGACGACGGACGACGTACGACGGACGACGGACGACGGACGACGACGGACGAAAACGGATAGCAATAGGTCACTTGAGCTAAAGCTCAGGTGACCTAAAAATGAAACAATTCTTTAGTATTCGCTCTTGTTTCTCCAGAGTGAAGTACATAGTGGGTCTTAATTATATCACAAACACCTACCATTTAACATATCAATTTAGTTCTTGCTAAAGTTTATCAGTTTATCAATTGTGGAGTAAGTGATGCATTCACCTCTAGATTTCTTTGATTACAGTGCCATGTTTGAGTGACAATTGACAGATACCTGTGATAATTGACATCTCCTTATTGTTCAGATTTCTGTTCAAATCTTAAGGCATTGAAGTCCAAACATATCTGTGATAACTTACAGGTTTTGGGTGGTCAGACTTCGGCTTCTGTGCCTTGCCGTCAGCCATCTGACTGTTATCGGCGTCACGGTCAGTGTCCAGGGAGGCCACTAACCAGCTCACCATGTTCAGTTTCAGCAGCACACTATTCTTTATGGACGGTGACGGCTGTTGGACAAAAAAATATCTGTAACTTCTACATTTGTTTCCAGAGAGCCCAATTTCTAAATCGTTTAGTTAAAGAAGGTACAATACTTGTTAATTAGAGAGGCACCATGTAAAGCATATTGCACCCCACCCTGCTCCAATTAAAAACATGAGCAACATGCTTCAATGACAGTTCTAGTATTGATAAGTGACTGTGTCCCATTGTCAAATCAATCTAAAATGAATTATGGCTTTTTCTACCATCTAGCTACATAAGGGCAACCCGCATACCAAGTCTAAGGTTTGTGTGATCATTTGTATACAAGTTTGGATCAAGACAACAAAATTATATTTTTAATAATGAGCATGGATTTTGAAAAACTACATCCAGTAGGTTCTTCCTTNCCCCCCCCACACACACACACCCAAAAACTCCTGTTAAGGGGGGTAACAAAGCAAAAGGTTATTCATTTCCAAACTGTAACTTAATTCACTCATGAATTAAACTAATACAAATCTTTAAGAAAAAGTTCTGTAAATATGAAGTGCAAATCCTGACTCATAGAAGATGTGCTCAGTGGAAGATTTCTGTGTATGGTGGTCCAGGGCTTAGATATAATCTCACTCTGTTACCTGCTGTTTGACTAGCTCCTCCAGTTGCTGTATGTGGGGTGTGAGGATGGTATTTAAATATTGCAGGATATCTTCAAACTTTAACACAGATAGAACTTGACCTATGCAGGACATCAGACGTATACACTCTCTTGGCTGAAAATAGACATCAGACGTATACACTCTCTTGGCTGAAAATAATCAAAATCTCATTATGTCCCACACAAAGTCTGAGTTTCAATCTAAAGGAATATAGGACTCTTTAATGAAATTTTGTTGCAGGGGTTTTCAAATTGGGTGAATTCAAAGCTTGCCAAGAACATTATTGTCTAGTCAAATATCCATCTTTCAATTATGGTGTATTTGGCCTGATGTTAATTTCACTCTTTAAAGTGGAACTGCTATGTATGCTATGTAATGTACCAATTAGTCTTAATGAATTCAAAGTGTGCAAAAAAAGGCAAGAGTGAAAAATTGCAACAATATTTCCCTTTCATAAATCTTTTGGAAGGTCTGAGTGACCTGCCAAACCAAATGTGACAGGAACAATGACTAACAGTTGCTTTCTAGCATTAAAACAACTGGCAGGACCGCCTCAAATTAAACACATCTAATGTGTTTACTGTTTGCTATTTATGTTACAAAGTATGTTACACATTACAGATTATATTTTACATCATCTTTCTGGTCTTTTACCAAACACTCACCTTTAAAATTCCACTCTGTAAAGCACTCTGTTAAAGAAAAGATATGAATTGAATCAATATTGGGCGGTGAGATAGTTGTTTATCCTTTTTAAGGAAGGAGGATAGGTAAAAAACATATTTGTTTCTTTACATTCTGATTTAATAAGAAGTAAATCTTATTTCAAATCCATGCTTTTTAAAGAGAGTATTGTCCACATTTTATCAACCAATCAGCATTTCGAAAGAAAGAATAACATTACAGAATATGCAAAAACAATGATCACCACTGGACTTGACAAAAACAATGATCACCACTGGACTTGACAAAAACAATGATCACCACTGGACTTGACATGAAATTGCATTCATTCATTTAGTCATAAAATGTGGTGCTGATATACTTATTCTCAAGTATGTTTTTAGTACCGGAGGTATTAACTTTGTTGGGACAATGTGGTGGAGGTTTTACCTGACTTGCGGTGAGCATTTGGTGGGCGTAGGGTGGCATATGGTTGAGGTTTTACCTGACATGCGGTGAGTATTTGGTGGGCGTAGGGTGGCATATGATTGAGGTTTTACCTGACTTGCAGTGAGTATTTGGTGGCGGTAGGGTGGCATATGGTTGAGGTTTTACCTGACTTGCGGTGAGTATTTGGTGGGCGTAGGGTGGCATATGATTGAGGTTTTCACGGCTCACATCCTTGAGGGCCATGGTGGCTGCCGTAGCAGCCTCAGTGTTGCCAAGGCCATGGAGGATAAGTGGTATCACAGAACTCAGACTATCAGGGTGACAGTTGATCCACTCTCCAAAGGACCCTTAAATTATGGACATGCAATGTGAATCCCTTATACTTTAGTACAGTAAATATCTTACTAAGTAAATATCGTACAAAGTAAATACCTTATAAATTCCCAGAAATGCCTGTTTTAAAAATGTACTGGCCCAGGGTTACAAAATAAATGTACATCAAATTGCTTAATACTGTACAAGTAGTTGTCCGTTATACTGCATTTTTGGGGGGTTTTTGTAGACATAATCTGCATATGGAACTTATTCACCAGGTTGTAATTTCATGAAATCAACATGAAAGCTGAGTAAAAGTAAAATGTTTTAAAAGAAACTGACAGATCATTTTTTATTTATATATTTCATCTATTATCTATTTCAGGTAATTAGATTGTCAAATGTCTTACATTGACAATCTGCTTTTGCCATTCATCATTGCCTACAACTATAGAGTGCAAGTGTTTATTTTCTTATCTTCCTTTTTTAAAACTGTTCCTAAAATACTTAAACAAGGACATTTTCATGATTCCCAACTTCAGCTGCATTACATCAACATCTTGTCCCGAGTAAGATACTACATTATCTATATTTTGTGAGATTTCTTATTTTGAAATAGTTTGCCAAGGGATTAGGTAATTTCAAATAGTCTATAAACATTTATACAAACAGAATTAAATAAAGGTCATATAATTGTTAATTGTTGTTGTTCCTTTCGGAAATTAAAATCCTCTCAAAGAACAAACATGAAAATAAGTACTCATGAACATTAAGTTATTATCATACTCCTGCTTTGATCGTTTAGACCAAAATATAACATTATATCAAGGTCTTAAACAGGATATCAAGAATTGAACAGAATTTTTCAGGAGATATGATTTAACCAATAGAATGCTAGTATTTGATCACATGGCCTGCAGACTGATAAGACTTGATCAGTAGACAACACGAATAAACACTCACCAATCATGTAGAGAGCGGTGGACACAAACTTGATGTTGTTAAATGGAATTTTTGGCAGTATATTTAACACAGCAGGTAGATAGGACTCCTCTTCAAGGTCGACATTCTCAGCGACTGACCCGAACAGGAAAAAGATTCCCTCCACCAACTGAAATACAAACACCAGTCTTTAGTTTTAATTTCCACTGATAAACATTGAAATTAAAACTTAAAATGGTCCTATTGTATACTAGTATAGGCATATTTTTATAGTTAGGTGAATTTACAAATTTATGATGATAATGAATGTTTCTAAACAGGAATCAGGCAATCAGATGATCTATACAAACCTTAACGGTCACCTGAGTCCTACAGTATTTTGTTGTTGTTGAAATGATGATTTCAAAGGAGAATAGTACATTATTTGTCGTACAAAAAAATGTATTTTACCAGTGCCAAGTCCATCAGTCAATTATTGCTACCAAGTTTGAGTAAAACTAGAGAAGTGTGTAACACATGAATGCCCTTTGCCATAGAAAAATGGATCTTACTGTTTGACAATTTTCTATAAATAGTAACGGTGACCTTGACCTGGTAAATAGTTTTTCAAAATGGCAGCCGTGGCGCCATATTGGATTTCTGATCGACCCGAAAAATAACAACAATTTGTCAGGACCATGTGTTGTTCATTACTAAATGGTTTCAGTTAAATCGGCCCATTAGAATCTTGACTATTTGAAATAGTTTTTTTTCAAAATGGTGGCATTGATGGACCCGAAAAATAACAGAACTTGACTTAAAGTTTGAAATATTTTTTTCAAAATGGCGGCACTAGTGGCCATATTGGATTTCTGATCGATCTGAAAAATAACAACACTTTGTCAGGACTTTGAGTTGTTCATTCCTAGAAGGTTTCAGTTAAATCGTCCCATTAGAACTAGACTTTAAGTTCGAAATAGTTTTTTTTAAATGGTGGCATTGGTGGCCATATTGGATTCTGGGCGACACGAAAAAAATAACAACACTTCGTCAAGGAGATGTCATAAATATAAATGAAATCCCTTCAACAGTGTTTCAGCTTAAGTTGAAAATGTAAAATATTAACAGAGGACGCATGAAGACGGATAGCAATAGCAATAGACCTAAAAAATTAAAATTGAGCATTTTCAACGAGTGAATTTGCTAAACTACCCCTATTTTCTAAGAGATCTGATGATTTCATTTGAAATAACAGTTCAACAGATGCTTTTTAAAAGTGTTATTTTTTCGCTAGAGTGTACATCCACACATTTTATTAATGCTTTTAATTCTGAGCACGCATAATCTCCCCCATGGAGATTTCAAAAAGTTAGCAAGTAAAGATGTAATTTTCTACAAAACTTTGGAAAAACTTCACAATATCAACTCTGTAATCACTGGAGTTATTGATGACATTTAATTCACAAGTCTGTGAAAGAATATTCATATCTACACTGAGTATTGAGATGTACCAAATCAGGGTTTTGGCCAATTTTATGTCTTTTTTTCGTCACTACCCAAAATCCAGGGTGAACACCTATATCTACATTGTAAGTATTGATTAAGAATATACAAATGCAATCAAGAAATTTTACCTGCCATCGTACTTCTTCCACTCGGGAGTTTTCCACCATTGTCTGTAACACACTACAGAGGTGACCTAGCAGCGGCTCCCGAAGTATACTGAACGAGTACATCTGCCAACAAGTGATAGGAATGTTATAAAATCACTCTTTTAAGATATTGAATCAGAACATAAATTACCTGGTACTGGTATGAATTAACAAGAGGCCCATGGGCCTTAACGGTCACCTGATATATTTATACAGAGAGTTGATTTTGTTTTTAAAACGAACAGAAATATTATTCAGTGACAAAAAAACAATAAAACCACCTTATTCAATATCTAGCATACAGATATAAGACTAAAAAGTATTTGAAACTAGCACCTTTGATTCTAAACAAGGAAAATGAAGAAATTTTAGCACACTAACTCCTTTGGGCCCCACCTTACAGCCCTTGGGGGTAGGGCTGGCTCAAATTTTTCAAAGTATCAAACTGTCAACTCAGGGTTATAATTCCAATCAAGTTATTAACATGTAATATTCAAAGTATCATTTGCCATTATAAACCATAATAAATTTTGCCCCCCCTCCTTCCCCAGGGGGTAAACGTGAGACCCTAGGGTCATAAACCTTAAGACCCTTCCATCTAT